CTTGGTCTTCTAGAAAAGAATGACAACAACACATTCCACAATCCTACTCCTGTCTATCCCCCCCTCCCATCAACTATACTAATGAAACAGCATAACGAATTAAGAGAAAGTGTGGCGGGCCAAAATTCTAAAAGGAATATAACTGCAGGCCTGACACTCTGCCTGTGGGAACATGACTCTGATCCAGTCTGATATGTTAACCATTGCACCATACTACCCATACTTCCATGGTGCTTGGTGGATGGGTGGCGAATCCCCTCTGTTTACATTGCATTTGATTAAAGTAGAAACTTAGTTCCATGTTATACTATCCTTCTGTTTCCATCTTCTTTCCTGTTTGTGGTTTCTTCTTTGGTTTGTGGTGGTGGATTTGCTCTAGTATATGATATGAGTGCAGTATTTGGGCACTGCAGGTTACAATTATGGGATATGGCTTAGCATAAGGCTTACCAAGGAGTAATAAAATGTGGCTTAATGTAACACGTGGACCCAATCTAAAGCGTATGAGGTTACTATTGCTAAGGGTTCTTTTGAAGGCTGTTTTAAATGGAATTTGATCTTATTTAGACTATGTGGTATATTCAATGCTTTCCTTTTTGGGGAACCAGGCGGATCGATACCAGCGTCTAAAGGATGAGGTTGTGCGAGCTCAAGTCCAGCTCCAACTCTTCAAGCTGTACCACAATGAGGCTGAAATTGAAAAGCTAAACAAGGAACTGGGATCCAAGAACAAAGAGATTGATAAGGATAAGAAGCGCATGGACAAGGTGGAAGATGAACTCAAGGACAGGAAGAAAGAGCTGGGCAAAGTCATGAGGGAGCAACAACAAATCGAAAAGGAGATCAAGTAAGCTTTAGAGGATATTGGAATTCAGGCTCACGGGATCTGCATCTTTTTATATTACAACTCTGGGTCCCTTCATAGAATAAGAAGTCACTTTGGCTCAGTTCATCTACAGTTCAGGGAACTCTGAGCCATTTGCAGTCTGTGCTTGCCTTTGTCTGTGGCGCAGAATTAAAACACTTAAAGACTAGTTAGTGTGCAGAATAAGTAACTTCGGAAACTGAGCTAAATTATCTACTAAATTGGATAGTTCAGATCTGAAACAAAGGTTCCACCACAAAACCGCGGTAGACTAAAGCGCGCTCGACGAAAGCGCGTACCTGATGTCATCACAGCGCAACGAA